GGGTATTTGAATTATTTGAATTATTTGGGTTCTCGCGCCATCCCAAATAATTAAAATAATTGAAATATTTAAATATATAGAGGAATCGAGGCGCTAAATATACCCTAGAGGTGTCTCTCTCATATATGTATGCATGTGCTTGTGTTTGTGTGCTTGTGTGTTTGCTGGTTGGTTGGTTTGTTTTGTTTCCTTGCGTGTATCTGCATGTATGTATGTGTTTGCAGATTTGCTTGCCTGTGTACCAATACCTGTTTACTTGGAGAGGAAAAGATACATGCAGAACCAGGAACACCAATGCCGATCCCAAGCAGTAGGATCCGGGCCGTACAGGCTCCGCTGTAAGGAAGTCCCAGTTTGAAGCAGTCCCCCCAGGTGAACTTGATCATCCTGGGTGTGGAGGTTGATACCGCTGCACGGCTTGCGTGGCTTGGCATACACAACGCATTTCCTGAGGGATTCTCGGGCTTGCAGGGTGTCTCAGAACCGGCTGGACAGGGAATGAACAAAGCTTGCCAATACTCCTGCGTTGGTTTGCAGTAGTTACAGTAGTCATCCTGGTCTTTTCTTAAGTTCAGAGTACAAAAGGAGTGGAAGCGACTGACGATCTGGGGACAGTGCATTCTGATGACCAGAACCGGCATGAAGGCTTGCTTGCAGGTAGTTGTGTGATATCAAGACATGAGCTGCAGCTGGCGTTACCCATCCTCAAACCAAATGGCGCGACGTGCGTTCGGAATTTAGAGTCTGACGTTTGAGGTGGTCATTGCCCCCCTTGCATTGATGCGCTTGCACAGCATGTGTGCGGGGTCACCAACGGATTGTAACATGTTGAAGAAGCTTCTTTTGCGGACGGATGTTGCGAGCATCTCAAACCGTTTCACCGGGTCACCACAGCGCGCACGGAACATGGAGAACGAGCTTGAAATCAGAATACTCGCAGCCACCCAGTCTGTACAATGCAGATACCAAAATTAGCAAATCAATGTCCGATAGTTCAGGTCCTGTATTTCCTGTTCTGTGCTCTTCCTAAGATTGTCCTGTCCCTACAGTGACAGGCCTGGAGACGAACCTCAGGGCTTTTGGGTGGCCAATGTTGTCATCGCCGCTGCACAGAACTTCATAGATACAGTGCAGGGATACAGGGCTTACAGGCTTGATAAGCTGCACTGCTTGCGCTGTGCACGGGCTTCTTAGTCGAGTGAGATGCAGGTTTGATAAGGGCTTGTTAATTTCTGTTGTTTCAGCAGTCTCTGGTTGGGGTAGAATGTGTATGGGGAGCGCGTGGGGCGAACAGACCCAGTGCCTAATCCCACATCCCCGACTGGGTCGTCAAGCACATGCATTACTGACTGTGTAGGCCGTTGCGTTAGATAGCTGCTGTGAGGGGGTCCCGAAGGTTGGGCAAGAATTGCTCGTAGAGCCATCCTTCTGTGACTCAATATTCGCTTGTGCTTGTGCTAGCTAGCGTGCAAACAAGGGAATCAATCATCGCCTGCTGTGGTTTTCGCTTCGGAAGTTCGCCCTTGAGCTCGCTGGGACGTTTTGTCAAGCAGGTTGCCTTGCAAGCCTTCTTCTTCCGTGCTTGTGGTCGACTACAAAGCAGCTTGAAGCCACTCACGCCAAGGTACTTATCTTTGTGCTGGAATTGCTCATGAAGCTTTTAGCGCATGGGGCACGCCAGTTTTTCTGTGGCTCTGAGCGGTGGTGGAATCTCTTTGACATGTGGCTCTACCGCACAAGAACCTTATGCGAAGCAGAAAATAGATTGTCGTATGGTTTGACCCGAATGCCCCATTCGACGTACTTTTTACTATCAACAACCAGACCGATGGCATACTTTATCGTGATGATCATCGTTCTCCACCATCAGCAACAGCGACAACAGCTGCACCACCACAACTGCAACCCATTGCACAGCAACAACAACTGGCTAGAGCAGCTTTTGCAACAACAGTTTGCCAACGGCCGTCAACATTTGTACCAGTTGCATAAGGAACACACCAAAGTCATTTGCAACAACCAAAACAGTGGCACACAAAATCCACTATTTTCCGGCTATTGTTGTTAGTGGTCGCAACAGTAGCAGTAGAAGTCGTGGTTGTCGTGCTACTTCTCCTCGTTCTCCTCCTCGTCGCCCTGCAACAACAACAACAGCAACAGCAACAGCAACAACAACAACAACAACAACAACAACTACTACTACTACTACTACTGCTACTACTACTACTACTACTACTATACTCTACTATCACTACTACTAGCACTGCGACTTCTACTACCACCGCAACGACTAATTACGACGACGACCACTGCCACTGCTACTGCTACTGCTGTTGCTGCTGCTGCTGCTGCTGCTGCTGCTGCTGCTGCTGCTGCTGCTGCTGCTGCTGCTGCTGCTGCTGCTGCTCCTGCTGCTCCTGCTGCTCCCGCTCCTTCTCGTGCTCCTTCTCCTGCTCGTGATGCTGCTGCTCCTGCTCCTGTACTACGCCTGCTACTACTACAGCTGCTAAAGGTACAACTAATCGTACTCAGTACTCCTACTCCTGCTACCGCTACTGCTACTGCTTCCTGTACCCTACTCGGCCCTACTCACTCATACTTCTACCGCTACCGCTACCCGCTGCTGCTATTGCTGTTGCTGTTGCTGCTGCTG